TACTATAAAAATGTTTTCCATGATTTATTTATAAAATTTTACTCTTTAATAATTATTGGCTATTTAGTATTGTTCACATTATCTATGTGCCACCCAGCTTCAACAAATTAAACAGAATTAATAACATACATTTAAAAATTGATATTAACAGTTAAAGATGTATAAAAGATTTGGTTCAATGCAGCAATAGCTTCCCATCAGTATGTGTATTCATCCCTTTCCAGGTGTATTCTGGGAAAATACAAAATAACTAAAATGCTGTTGAGTGTTTTACTGCAATATGAGAAGGGGTGTGATAAATGTAAGACTGCATTGTGTGGATGATTTTATTTTACTGCAGAGTTTGGCACTTATCCCTGGTTCAAGTGGGGTTATGTTAAACTAAAACCTTTCATGACATACTATATATTCATTCTTGCAGGTTGAGTTGTTTTGCAAATGATAGATAGATAGATAGATAGAGTGTGTGTGCCTTCATTATTACAGACCACAATCAACTGACTTGAGTTGCTGTCATTTGCATTCCAGAAAAATGATTACTGTACAAACTCAACAAGCAGACACATGCCTAAACCAGACTACATGAAAATAGTGTTACTCCCCAGTGTGTAGCTTAAATTGAATGTAAGCCAATGGGGAATGGTGAAGTCAGCAACTTGTCCTAAATATACTGTCTGTACTTCATGTACATAATGTATTAAAATAAACAAATATAGTTATTGTTATTATTTCAGTAGATCTAAAATGAGGGGGCACAATTTGTAATTGACAAGCTTTAAAACAAAAAGTCATTCACATTGCCATGGGAAATTAATCTTAGTAATTTCTGGACTTGAGTTGCTGTCATTTGCATTCCAGAAAAATGATTACTGTACAAACTCAACAAGCAGACACATGCCTAAACCAGACTACATGAAAATAGTGTTACTCCCCAGTGTGTAGCTTAAATTGAATGTAAGCCAATGGGGAATGGTGAAGTCAGCAACTTGTCCTAAATATACTGTCTGTACTTCATGTACATAATGTATTAAAATAAACAAATATAGTTATTGTTATTATCAGCGGTGTACAGTAGACCTATAATGAGGGGGCACAATTTGTAAAACAAACACGTTTTTCCATTTTCTTTCACTTTTTATTATCCCGCACACCATCATAACTTGGCCAAAAATCCTGGAACAAAAGATTTTTTTGCTACCTGTAGTGTCTTCTTGTACAGTCCAAGAAGTCACTGTACAAGAGGCCACTGTTGCACTCAGAAAATGTTCACTCTCATGTTGAAATAAAGTAGGTAGGAGGGGTTCAAATCATCATCTTGAATTCCTGTGGTTGCCCTGTTTTATTTATTTATTTACATGTGGGAATGATTTAACCCATGCAAACTGAGTTTGTACATTTAATGTGGATGAAAAAATGTTAAAAAACATCAAGATGTTTTTTTTTTTCTCGTTCAAAATAAGGACATTTTAGATGTTGCATGTTAAATGAGCTGTGCAGAAGTAAATATATATTCCTTTGATTGCTGAAAAGTCATTGTCAGACATCTTGTCCTATGGTCATAATATTTGTGTTTGGTGTTATTTAGACCTGAGGTCTAACTACCTCTTAGACCTCTTTTAAATAAAATGTTATAACTCGCATATGATTGGGATCCAATCACCAAACATAATTTTCTGACCACTACATACGTTGGTTAAGAAGAAGGGTTGGGACATACACACACACACACACACGCACACACACAGCATGTCCATTTGTTTTTTATGTCTTGTGCAGCCAAGTGCTGCTCAAACCCACAACATTTAATTTTACATTCATAAATATAAAGATTTCCAAATGTGACAGCTTTTACAAAACAATGCCACAAGCAGATGGTATAGAGATGTTTGATCTGTATATGAGACTGTGCAAATGTGGAAATTATATTTGTAAATGTACTGCCTCTAAATGTGCTTTTTTTCTATACTGTACTGTGTTCAGTAGTCCCCAGAAGTCCTACGATCTCATGTTTGATATTGTAGAATTTAACAGTATCTATCAGTATGATATAGAAGGAAAAAAGTACCCCAAACACTTTAGGGTACTATAACAAACTTAGTGCATCTTGTGTACTATATGCAACACTTAACAACTTCACAGCACATCAATAATGATCAGTTACTTGTTCCTAAGTCTGTTGTGACCAGAGACTAGGAACAGCACATTTATCTGGGAAGTAAACAATGAAATCTTTAACAATCAATGAACTTCCTTGTTTTTCATGCTGAAAATAAATTCCATGAAAGTGTATATTAAATGAAATGGCCTTGTTTTGATTGAGTTCTGTTCAGAGTGATTGAAATTATTTGATAACTTTAAGCTTAGCAATAGAAAAAGTGTGAGAAGCTCTGCCAGAACAACCAGCAAGGTCCCTGACCTGATCTTGACATACAGTAGCTATCTGAAAACTGTGAGAGGCCTGTGTTCAGCAAGGCCAGTGGCTTACTGTACCACACTGGTTACAACCTTAGATGGTAGTTTAAACTGGTGTGTCTGGATGGCACCCAAGCCTAAACATAGCCTAGAATAATCTCTTCTTTGTCCAATTAGTTCACTTTAAAATGGTGCTGCTGCTTGTGCATACTAATAAGCCAGAGTTTGCCTTGAGAAACAAATATATTTTTGTCCTTTGTTAAGCCACCGGTTCACTTTTTTACCTCATAAATTTCTGTTTAAAAGGTTTATGATGTTTGTAATTGTATTATAATTATCCCCCTTTTGAGCACGCTCAAACATCATCAATGAAGCCCGTGTGGGAGACCAGGCAAAAGAGAGGTTTTTATTTACCTGTACAGTATATCCAGGGGAAACAAATTACTTAAATGTGGGTGTGACCACAATCAACCACCTTAAGAGAAGAACAGAAGAAGTATAAAGTAATGCTGTTCTTTCTTAGCTTCAGTAATGTCTGAGCTATGGCTATGTACACTGGTACATCAAACTGGATAAGTAAGGGGGGTGGCATGAACAGTAGCTTTGGGTAGTTTTCAGCTTAATCTGCAACATTACTTGCTTTGTGTTTTGTAAAACAAAACAGAATTCATTTTGAACCATAAAATAACTAGTGAATGTAGTTACGAGTGCCCATATGAACTGACCATTTACAGGTGGTCTTATGGAGAGCAAGAGTTCTTTTTAAGACAAACCTGAGTACAAAAATGGTTTTGCTATTCCAAGACATAAACAATTAATCACTGCTTGCCATTGAAATTTTTTAAGACAAACCTGAGTACAAAAAGGTTTTGCTATTCCAAGACATGCATATTTCCTAGTCAGCTAACAATTAATCACTGCTTGCCATTGAAAGAAAGAAATATAGTCTGTACTGTTTGTCTACCTGAGGATAATAGAATATAATTAGTAAATTAAATAATCAAGCTAAAACTAGATATTATTAAATCTTCCCTGCATTTGGAATGATAATTTCATCCTTTGATTCAATAACTCTGCTACTTATGTGCATTATGTGCAACTATGGTTATTTTATAAAATCAATAATAATATAACTTCATTTGCTATGTATGGTTCATTGCCAGAAGATGGTTCTATGGGGCTGTTGATCAATAAATATGGGATGATCTAAAAATGGCTTCATCTTGTCTTCAGTGAAGCAAAATGATCAGAGTTAAACATATCCTCCATCTGAACTGATGTGATAGCGAGGTCGCTATCAAATTGTGCTAAGGTTTTGACCACAAGATCTTATTAAGATGGGTGAAATTCAGCCAGAAGATTTGTATTTGGTCCTCATCCCTGCAAGTTTAAATGAGAATCAATAATTCAGACAGGTTTCATAAATATTGCTCTGCCATGCTTTTTTCTCTGGGTGTAAATGAAACTCAACTGTTTTATTATTCATTACAACTTCCAGTGCCCTGGGGCAGCTCTCAGAGGCTCTCGCAGGTGATTTGGAGGAAGAAGTTAGATTACTCATCTGTGCGATAAAACACATAACTTGCTGAGGCCATTATGCTGTGACACAGATCTAAATTTGCTAATTATTTAACCTAAGAAATAAGTGAACTATTAGTTAAAACTGAAATATCATTTCTGTTTTTTTTTTCGATTAGTATTATTTTACGTATATGTTCATGTGCACTTTCACACATATAATTAGATGCTGGGCATGTATATAAAATGTATGAGCCATAATATCTGGGGTCCTAACAGACAGTAAATTCTGTGCCAAGACTTATATTTTTGAATAGCCTTGAGTAGCTTACTGCTGCTTTATAATGACCAGAAGAGCAATGTCCGTAATGGTTATCATTTTGCATATAAGTGATAAATGGTAAACTACTATGAAATGAACTGGAGACAAAATCTTTATAGCCAAGTTAAAGAATGACTGCTGCTATAAACGTTGTTTACACTAAAATGGAGTGCAACAGAATGAACATAGTAATGTGTTTGTGAGGAGGAGTTCCAAAGTTGGTCAACAGATGGTGGCAGAAGCCATAGATAACACAGAGAGGTGGGACGTGCAGTATGTTGCAGAAGAGGTTCATTGTTACGTAAATAAACGTAAACATGTCTACTGCTTCAGATTCTGACAGTGTATTGTAAACCGCGAGTTTCCTGAAAATATAGCCATAAAACAACATTGTTAAATAAG